CCTTTTAATGGATCATCCTAGCCACTCCTCCACTGTCTTCTATCTAGTGTTACCGGGAGGAGGAGAAAGCACCAGGCCAGCTAGGCTCACTTGTCCCAGTTTGGCACCACCAAAGAAAAACCAAGAACCTTGGACTGTCCTTGAGCCACCTCGTCTACAACTTGGGGATTTCCCTTAGTTGCCCTGCGGCTGTAGCATCGTTAGGTAGAACTAGCACGAGGATGTGCAGCATCATGTCCACGTCTTTGTAATGCCGCATCTGTAGCATCGTTAGGTAGAACTAGCACGAGGATGTGCAGCATCATGTCCAAGTCTTTGTAATGCCGCATCTGTAGCAGGTTACTCATCTTGTGATGCACCATTGTTTCTGGGATGAATGATCATACGTGCTTAGGGGCTATAGCATTGACCCCAGCGTGCTGAGAGTAAAGTAGAGAAGGATAAAGGTGTCTCCTTCCCTGGATCCCCTTTGCCCTCTCAGCCATGAAGGTCAAAGGGCAAGGGCTGCTCTAATTTTCAAAGGTAAAAGTCCAAGATGGCAGTAGGGTTTTGGAATGAAGCTCTGTATCTAGATTTGCTATTCATATATCTGTCTGGTTTTGGTGTTTGGAGACAGGGTCTCTCTTTGTTGTTCAGTTTAGCCTCACACTCAGGATCCTCCGGCCTCACCCTTCCAAATACTGGGATTCCAGGTGTATGCCCCTTACACTCAGCTCTGGTCATCTATTATGCATGCATAACTGAAGGAGGGAAATATATATTCATTGTTCTGTTTTTATGTTATATAAGAGCATTTTAATGTTCTCCATCTTTTCTTCTAGCCTTGTGCTTTGTTAGACCACTTTTTTAATGTGCAAAATATTAGGCATAAAACAAGGTCATAGTTGTAAATACAAAATAAATTTGTGAAATAGTCTCAAATATCTGCTGCAACTAATGACACCCTCTAAATGCTTTCCTGATTTACAGGTGCCATGGTGATGTCCTTTGTTCTTTCCTGTACTATGTCTAGGCAGCTTACTTCAGCAAGATGAGTTTACTTTACCTAGAGTAGCAGCAGTGGAGAGATGGGTGTGGGGGGGGGTTAAAGCAAAGCCTCTGTGAACTGCAAACCCTGAAAATGGCTTTGTTACAGTTCATTGTTGTCTATCTGAGGGCTGTTAGCATTGTTCTGCAGTGTTTGGGCCTGTGTGTGTGCATGAGCATGTGTATATACGGGGACCCCGTGTGTGCAGGGCAGGACTGCTCTATTTTGCGCTACAGTGCTACATCTTACATTACAATCCACGTTACTGATTCTTAGTCATGGTCTGTATGATCTAAGTTGTTCAATGGTGTATTGTAACTCTCACTTCCCTACGAGTTTTCAAATCAGAAGCCCCAGACCCTTACAGCTCATTCACAAGGCAGAGTAGTGTGAGCCCATTGTGTAATTCCCCAAAGTGAATCCTAACTCTCACCTACCCCACCCCCCACCATACTCACAGAAATAAATGTGCTGAGAAGCGAACTGGAGCATCCGACACATGAGACAAACTGGGATGATGCCTTCATCACCGTGTGTGGGAGCAGCCGCTGGCTGTCCACACCCTGGGGAGCAGCAGCAGCGAGCCTCTTAGCAATCCCGACATGGGGGGGGGCGGGGAGGGGCGAGCTGGGCAGGTGCTGGGATTTGCCCATCAACCCTCATTGGCTGTGTTCATAGGTTCTGAACTTTCACCAAGTTCACAGTGCTGTTACTGAATGTAATTGACCAGGTTTCTTCCTCGATTTCTGTTTTCTTGGCATGGTCAAATGCTGCACATCTTGTCAGATAGAACTTCTTTTAAAAACAACCTTTACTTAAGGATTCATGGGATTTTTTTATTAAAAAAAAAGTCTACCCAAAAGTTTTCTTTGACTTGGTGGCTAGACCTTTGTGCTGAAAGAACTGGTTTTAGGCAAAAAATGGGACCACTCACAATACCTTAAAGTAAAACCCCAAGCTCTGCGTCATCAGGAAAAGTGATGCTCTTAGAACAACATCTACCTGGAGCAAGACCTCAGTGAGAGGGAGATGCACAGGTACTTGGAGCAACATCCTTTGGTGTCATTGGATTTGCTAGGGGCAAACACAAATGCGTCTTCACTTGATTCAAGAGATGGTGATAGGCGACGCTTCTCAGTGTTGCGTTGAGTCCAAAATGGGGGCTGGAGATTCTGAGTGGCTCAGAGATCAGCAGCCAAGGTGAAGTACTAGAGTAATGAGGGGGAATTCTGTTAGCAAGTCGGGAGAGAGTGAATGTGGAGAGCTGGTAGACTTCTAAGGTCTCAGAGTTAGCCTTTTATTCCAGATTATTGTTTATGGAGTTGTTTGCTTGCTTGTGTGCTTCTTAAACTCTCAGTCTGAGCAATGTTCCTAAGCTCCTTTTTCCTCAAGGCTAGTGCTCTACCACTGGAGCCATAGCTCCTCTTCTAACTCTTCTGTGATTAATTGGAGCTAAGGGTCTCACAGACTTTCTTGGCCAGGATGGCTTTGAGCCGTGATCCTCAAATGTCAGTCTCTTGAGTAGTTAGGATTACAGGCATGCGCCACCTGTGCTGTTGTTGTTATTATTAAATGTAATATATAAGACTCAGTTCTGAAATGAGTGGGCATGATCTTATCAACCAAGAAATATCATTCAGAGACTTTTTATCTTCCAAACTATTGAAGATTACCAGGAAATATGGTGATCCCAGTACCAATAAGGAATATAGGTATTTCAATTAGAGTTCATATATGAGGTGAAGGTAAGGAAAAAGCAAGATTCTTCAGTGGCACAGGAAGCCTTTGGCTTTTATAAGAACTCTGGAATTTTCACAATAATACTTCTTTGTCAAGCCTTCTGCCATCTTGAATTACAGCTGAATTGGCCAGGTAGTAAGGTTTATATCTAAATGAAAGACAGGGAGGACTTAAGAAGGGTTCTGTGACACTGAAATTTTCCCTATAAAGAACCTCTATAATGAACCTAAAGTGAACATATTTTCAGATTCAGAGAGCATCCCAAACTATGGTTTTTATTTCCTTAGAGACATGGGAACACTTGAGTTAGCCGTGGCTTTGTCATACTCTGTTCTGAAGGTTGTCTCTGTTCTTTAAAGACTCTCTCCTCCAGGTTTGGGAAGTGACACAGAACACCAGTGTCATAGCCAGGCTCATCCTGGGATTTCAGGAAAGACTAAATATGGACCCCGCGCAGAGCAATGACTTTGACTTCTAAAGAGAATGGGCTCATTTGACTTCTGCACTCCTGAAACCACAACCTCATGTGTGGGTGTCGGGTTCTTGGCTGGAGCTCCAGCTAAACAGAGGGAAGTTGTCTCATTTAGAGCAGTATAGATCCTTGAGAAAACAAAACAGAGCTGGAAAACTACCGGGAAGACAAATGATCTAATTTAACCCAAACCACTTTTTAAAATACAGACAAACAGAACAATAACAGTGGAAAATTACAGGAACCCAGACTCCGAGAGAAAGGATTATAATCCAAAATGGCTGTTTCTCCATGTCCCACCAGTGTCCCCGCCTAGACATAGACTTCAGAGTTTCCCACACTTCTACAAATGTCACCTTTCTAAAGATGTTGGGTTTAAGAAAGATTTTTAAACTGCATTTCACCTGCTGAAATGGCCAGTTTATTTCAAGTCATAAGGGATGTCACAGAGACATGGAAGCGATAGACAGAGGAGTCTTTTATCAACAGATTAGCAGATGATCTGGACTATTTCCCAGCAAGACGAAACGATTGCCCAGCCCTTAGGTCTAGCTGCCTCCTCTAATCCAGGATGTAGCAATTAAAGGAAGTATTTGTCTTACTTAAATTTTTTTTAGTGGGGGCTTCAGTGTTTCATATAATAATCGCTTGCTATTTAAGAGAATGATGCTCATTTCTGCAGCAACCTTGCTGCAGAAGAATTTGGAAGCGTTCCTTAGGAAGAACATGATCATCACTTCCCCATCTGGCCATGGGTGACAGTTCGGGATCAGGTCCACAGAGCCCTCAGCACTTCCCAGATTATGCCCTGATGTCCTCCCAAGCACCCATCTTTAAGAATGTGGAGCCTGGGGGCTGGGAAGGTGGCTCAGTGGTAGAGCGCTTGCCTTGCATGCTCGAGGCCCTGGGTTCGATTCCTCAGCACCACATAAGCAAAAAGAAAAAAG